AGAGCAACTTCTTGGGAAATCGATGGTCACTTGTGAACATTCATGCATGAACAAGAAACAGCAGAAGCAACAAGAAAATGAAGACTCTGTGCTACCATTAAACACACTATTCGCCTAAAGCTTCAAACAACACATACAAAAAAAAAAAAAAAACCAGGAAAATTTATAAGATTTAGTGGCACCAAAGATGCTCCATTTCTCTACTAAGAAAGGATGTTTTTTTAGTACCATCCATGCATTTACCTTCAAATTTCATGATTTTATTTTTTAACAGTCAAGTGATATTTCATTGTAAACATGCCACCTTTTCTTGCTCCCTTCTTCTGTTAAGGGACATCTAGGTTCTTTCTAGTTTCTAGGTATTATGAGTAGAACACTAATGAGCATGTCTGAGCAAGTTTCCTTGTGGTACAGTGGAGTGTCTTTTGGGTATATGCCCAAGAATGGTATAGTTAGATCTTGAGGTGAATTGATTCTTATCTTTCGGAGTAACTGTCATACTGATTTCCATGGTGGCTGTATAATTTTATACCCCTATCCACAATAGATGAGTGCTCCCCTTAATTCGCATGCTTTCCAGTATTGTGTTATTGATTTTATCCGTTTTGACAGGTATAAGATGAAATCTCAACGTACTTTTGATTTACATTTCCCTCGTGGCTAAGGATGCTGAACATTTCTTTAATGTTTCTCAACCGCTTGCATTTCTCATATTGAAAATTCTCTGATTAGGTTTGTACCCCATTTTCAACTGAATTATTTGGGTTTTGGATATCTTAGCTTCTTGAGTTCTTTATATATTTTGGATATCAGCCCTCTCTCAGACACGGAGTTAATAAAAATCTTTTTCCATTCTGAGGATGCCTCTTAGTCCTCATGATATGTTCTTTGTCTTACAAAAACTTTTTATTATTGTGAGGACCTGCTTATTAATTACTGATCTTAGTGCCTGTATTGACAGTGTTCTGTTCAGAAAGCCATCTCCTGTGCCAATGTGTTCAAGGCTGTTCCCCATTTTCTCTCCTATCAGGTTCAGTGTATCTAGTTTTATGTTGAGGTCTTTGATCCACTTAGGGCTGAGTTTTGTCCAGGGTGCTGAGTGTGGTCTATTTGAAATCTTCTACATACGGACATAAATCCACATACCTATAGATACCTAATTTTTTTATAACAAAGACAGAAATTGACACTGGAAAAAGACATCATCTCCCATAAATGGTGCTGATCAAATTGGAATGTGTATGTTATTTTTAGTATCATCTTCGTTTATAAATTTTGAACATTGTAAGAGGCCCTAAAGCAATTTCTTAAATGCCAAAATGTCACAAGAACTGAAATTGTTCACAGAACTTGTCTAGTGATCATAATTGGTATATCATACAAGATCCTAAGAAGTAATCAGAATAACAGAAAAAATCCTTGGATGCAATTTAAATGATACATTTTCCACATAAGAAGGGATAGTCAGATTGTTAGCCTTATCCGCCAATATCTCCTGATTAATTCCTCTGACTCATTCCCTTTCTAAGTTAAATGTAAAGAACTTTCTTTTTAAGTTGTTATCCTGAGGTATTTAAATAAATAAAGGAAAGAATAAATTTACTCAAAGGGTATTTATAAAAATATTCACCTTATGCTGGGTTCATCTGGGTTAAGAAATTTCTTCTAATTATTTGCATTGTTTCATAATAATTACCAAGTGTAAACAATAATTAAATGTTCAAAATAGCTAGTAGAGATGATGAGAAATTTTTCCAACATGAGAAATGCTAAGTGGTCAAGGTGATACACGTGACAATTTCCCGGATCAGATAAATTACTTTATATTTCATACATGTATTGAGATTATTATATTCTACCCCATAAATTTGTTACTGTTTCTTTTTTAAACACATGTTTTCTTTTGGAGAAAAAGTACATTTTTTTCTTCTTTTACTTACAACATTTCTCCTTTCGCTTTCCTCCCACCAAACCTTCCACTTTACTTCCCCCTCTCTCCTTCAAATTCACAGCCTCTTTTTTTCACTAATCATTATTGCATGCACATGAGTTTATATACATAAATATTTCTAAATATAACCAGTTCAGTCTGTAAAGTGTTACTTGTATGTATGCTTTCAGGGCTTACCTAAAACTACAAAATTTTAATGGGCTTTACATTTTCACTTGGCTTGAATATTCATATCACTCAAGGCATGATAAAAGCAGTTATCAGGAAGATAATCAAGTTCCATAAACTTCCAGAGGGGCAGATCAGCGTTGTGTTTGTAGGCAAACCTAGGTTACCATGGAGTTTTGACCTATTTTAATAAGAATCACAGAAGCAGCAATGTGGTATCCTTATGTCTATGACCACCATTTTATAATATCTCACAGAAAATAGATTCATGCCAATGATAATTTACATATTTTAAAATAAACTCCTTCTTTTAGCTGTCTTTCACTCCATCCCTAGGGTTTTTTGTTGTTGTTGTTTATTTGTTATATACCAATCCCAGTTCCCCCTCCCTCTTCTTCTCCCATTCCCCTCTTTTCCCCACATCTGACCTCCAATATGCTCCTCAGAGAACTTAAGGCCTCCCCTGGGAAGTCAACTAGGACCATCCTGTTCCCTCATTGAGGCAGGGCTAAGGCCCTTCCCTTTCCCCATGACTAGCATCCCTACGTTTTTCTGACCCACAACTTTCTCATGGCATTTTTCACCTCTGAATTTCTGAGTGTGTAGATGATGGGGTTTAGCATGGGGGTGATGACTGTGTAGAAAACAGCCACAAGTTTGTCTTCAGTAAAAGTAGAGGAAGGCCGCATGTAGAGGAATATGGCAGGTCCAAAGAACAAGATGACCACAGTGATGTGAGAGGCACAGGTGGAAAGGGCCTTGTGCCTCCCCTCTGCAGAATGATTTCTCAAGTTGACAAGGATAATGACATAGGAAGACATCAAGATGAGGAAGGAACACAGAGCAATTAAGCCACTATTAGCCATTACGGTGACACTCTCCACAAAGGTATCAGTGCAAGCCAGCTTGAATAGCGGCTGGAGATCACAAAAGTAGTGATCAATCACATTGGGACCACAGAAGGGCAACTGAATAGTGATAATAACCTGAATTAGAGAATGCAAAAAGCCCCCCAGCCACGAAACACCCACCAGCATGTGACACACTTGATGACTCATGATGTTCATATATTGTAGAGGTTTGCAGATGGCCACATAGCGATCATAGGCCATCACCACAAGCAAAAATATCTCAGCAACGCCCCAAAAATGGAAAAAGAATATCTGAGTCAGACAGCCCTTCAGGGAGATGGTTTTAACTTTGGCAAGTAGGTCAGTGATGAACTTAGGGACAACAGTAGAGGAGTAGCAGATCTCCACCAGGGACAAGGAGCTGAGGAAGATGTACATGGGGGAACGCAGACTCTTACTGACACTGACTATTGTGACAATGAGGCCATTGCCCAGCACTGTGGCCAGATACACGGGAAGGAACAGCACAAAGCACAACTTCTGCACCTCTGGATCCTGGAAAAGGCCAGTGATGATCAGTTCAGTCACGTTATTTGCCTTGCCCATGTTTTCATATCAGGAGTGGACATCAGGCAGGGACCAGCCTGAAATTAAAAAAAAAAAAAACAATGAAGCACCAGTTTACACCATTTACAGGATCTCAGAGGAAGCAAACCACTTACTAATCATTCCTTTACCCAATAGATAATAATTCAGAATTCAATATGGCACTCTAACATTTTATATTATACTTAGTTTTATCACTGGAAAACAGAAATTCAGAGGAATGATTGCTTGCTCATAACCACACAGGCAAAGGTCACTTCTCAGTCCAGGACCATTCTTTCTAGCTCATGGTACATATTTATGACAACGTATTCTGAATTTGGGCGGTCGTTCATGCTAAGAACCTGCATTTGTACTCCTTTACTGTATTTTGATACCTCTTCTTCTCTTTGGGGAATTGGCATATTTCTTCCCCTCTATTCTTTGTTTCTTTCTTCTCTTTCTCAAGAAGTATCCATTTCCTGTTGTATTAATATATTAATGCATGTGAAAATATCTTACCAGTTATCAAGTAAATTCCCATAATATATAAAAAATACACACTGTAAAAATCGATTAACATTTTTTTTTACTTGGAAAGATGATTAGCAAAAGAGAAAGTAAGTACTAATGTTGAAGTTATGGTTGGCCTCATGTTTAGTTGTTGACTTGAAGACCAGAGCACAAACTACTGTCAAATGGATGCACAGGCATTTCCACAAGTGAGTTGCAAAGAAGTTTAACCCAACACAAGTATTGGGGGCAGTGTGTCACAACCATTTAATAAATCTTTCCCAAGCTCCGCATTCGGGAGCACTACCTTGATATCTGTTTGTCAGTCAAAGACACAGTATTTACATATTGTAAATCACCAAACACAACAAATCATTTTATTTTTATTAAGAAGACTCATTTTCAATCACACAACTTGGTAGAGACTATCGAAGAGAGATTTTCTTCCCTGTTACAGTAAAAATACACTTCAGCCACACCCTGTAGGAAATCTGAGTGGACTTAGAAGAGACGAGGCATACACTGTAGGTCCTTACTTGCTCCTCCTCCTCACGAGTATTTTAGATAGCATGCTTTTTCCTTGGAGCATCTATCTCTGTGTTTGTGTATATCCAATGCTGCCATGCCTGTGTGCATATGTTGTTCACACTCACAAGTAAACTACACAACAGCTCTTTGGACAGATGTAAACCACCATCTCCCTTATCATCTTCATCAACAAGGCAATGCTTTCTGCTCACTCAAGTGCCTCCCTTCTGAATTACTTCAGCTTTCATGGGGGCAGGAGCAGATATACTAAGTTTCCCACAAACATAGAATTATGAACTGACGCCACTTTACAACAGGAAAAATTAAATCATCTAAGTACATACCAAATCTATGGTGGAACTATATAGCTACCCAAATAGGAAGCATACTCTCTTAAATTTATTGAGCAAGCAAGCAATTATTTTGTGCCCAAAAGAAGAAATAAACCAGTCATTCATGAACAGAATCCATAGATAAAGGTATAAGAGAAGAGTTCAAATTAAATATGAACACTATTAGATTACTTAAATAAATAGACAACTTTTCTGTGAGCTTAAACACAATTTAATCTTGATCTATTACAGAAATTAAGATAAATTTACTAGAACAAATATAAGACATCACTTGATGATAGAATAATTGTGGAGCTCCACAGTGTTCCAGGCTTCATTTATAACTCCTTTGGGAATGACCCTTGCCTCTGAAAATTACCCCCTCTCTCTCTTTCTCCCTCTCTCTCCTGCCTGTTCTTCCTCTCCCTGTCCCCACTCACCCATTCAAACTCCCTCTGCCACTGAGATGGTAAGAAATACCTCCTGCTTTGCTTCATTCTAGAACAAATGATAGAATATAGACCATGACTAATGAAAAATATGAGATCCCTTGATGTACTAATGTGACTGACCTTGGAATGAAGTAAAGAACCTCTACCAATATAGGTGCCAACCTGGCAATCCCCAAATAGTAAATTATAGTATACACAACTGTAAAGGAATTTCAGTAACATCACATTTCATGCTATGGGTTTTATATCATTATTCTCTACTCAACCACCTCTTCATCTCGAAAGTGAATTCTTATGGCTCTAATAAAAAAAATTTAACTAGCCCAAAATCCTATGTCAGCTGAGAAACTCTGCACCTTGCCACTAGTCACTACCTTTATATCAGAGCAGCTGATGTGCTCTTATGCTTTCTTGGAACAACAAATAAAAATGAATAGCATGAATTTCAAATACACTCAATGTGCTTCCAAGTCAGCATGATGTTAGGAACCCTGCTGGAACACATCACTACTCACGGTTTGTTCGGACTTAGGAAAACTGGAGTGGGAAAATAACTGGATTTCTTGCCTGGAAATGCTGGTCCTGGAACAAGCAAGATCTGTGGGCTGTTACCACCCAGTTGATTGAAGACCCTCCACTCATACTCAACTAAGCCACTCTGGGAGTAGTGCGGAAAAGAATATAAAGATTGTTCCAACTCCTTCTTTTTGTATATGAGGTGGCATGGGCTAAGAGGAGACAATTGTCTTTCCCACACACTCTAATAATTTCTGGGCACTATGTTAGAAATCATCATTCTGTCAAAAAGTACTAGGCTATCATTGGTGATATGTGGTGATTATTGTTACCGTAGTTAAGGAGTCGGCTTTGTCTCCTATAACATATCATCAAAAGGATCCTGGAAGCTTTTCAAAAGAAAACATAGTAGGCAGAGTCTAATTTAAATCACAAAAGGGGGAAATTCACAGCATCTGCATTTAGATTTGTAATTTTGAAGAAACAAAATCCTTAAGAATAGTAAACTCAGAGTCTCTGGATCCTGTTTTAATAAATAAGTACCCAATCCACACCAAGTACAAGCATTACAATTGAATTCCCACATACTAGAACTGTTTTTAGTAAATCAACCCTCATGTTATAATCAAGAGACCAAATTCTCCATGGAATTTCTTTTCCCTGGAGTAAAACTTGCCAAATAAACTTGAAAAAAGTTTCAAAATCTATTCCAATTATTTTTTCCGTCTCTTCCATGTTGTTTTGCACACACTAGAGAGAAAGAACACACTAGAGAGAAAGTGTTGAAAGCCAGGCATGCAGGGGCCATTTGACTAAACTTACCAACTGAAAATTAATTCCAGATGAGTAAGGAAAGAAAAGAAGCCTACTGGACACTGGTGTGATCAGTACTGGACTCACTATCCACCTATAGCTATGCCACTCACTTCTGCTTCTCACTTTCTTTTATTTAAATTTCTCATCATCATAAGAGTCTACCAAGCCTATCATTGCTAAATCCTTCCCTCAAACTACACCTCCATGCCTTTGTGTGTATTCTGTATATAAAAGCATTTAGCCTCTTTGTAGCTCTTTCCGTCTGTCAACAACAGTTGTCTAGTCATGAAATATAGAACAAACTTCTTCTGAAACAGAGGTGGTTTGTTGATCTGTCCACTCATCCATTAATTAATACAATACTGAATTCTATAATGTTCTAAATTCTGCTATAGGTACTAAACAATACACTGTATAAAAATAAAGTCACTAAACCTCATGAATGCAGCATCCTTAATTTTCCTTTTAGGATATAACTGAGTTAGAGAGGAAATGAAAAAAAAATGGCTCCAGACAGTCAACTCAATCCTTTCAAGGACAGAAAAAAAAATAAATATGTCAAAAATAGTAGTGGAGAAAAGCGCATGGTAAGACCTTATCGTGGAAGATATCACACAGTTTTGTTCAACAACATAGATAAATGAATCTCAGGCCCTCCCTACAGCATAGCTTTCCTGGTTCCAGAAGGTGCTATGCAGGGTCAGTTATCTTACCCAGTGCTGGGCTATACATGCTACAATACTGGCATACCGGGAACAATATGCCTGCTTGTGCAATAGTGACGTGATGGTTATGAAGTAACCAACTGGTCTCTGAATAGATTTGAGACCTGTTCCACTGCAGGGAATTCACACCTGATCAATAGCCCATAGCTAGGAGGGTCATAAACCCTAAGGTAAAACTTATTGTGGTCATTGTTGTTATTGTTGCTAAATGGTCATGTAGTCAAACTACCTTCTAAATATTTTATTTGTGTTTATACCCACTGTGATGGCTATTCTTGGTCGTCAACTTGACTATATCAGGATTGAACTAAAATCCAGAAGTGGACAGCACACTTGTGATCCAAATCTTGAGGCAGGAAGAAAATATGCCTTTGATCAGAATCTTGAAGCAGGAAGGCACACCTTTAATTTGGGCTACACCTTCTGTTATATATGAGGAAACCTATACATAAGGAAACTTATATAAGAACAATGTAAAAAGAAAGGGTTCATTCATTCTTGGCCTGCTTGTCCTCACCTTGTCAGCACATCCATTACTTCCCTGGCACTGGAGCCTACTTCTTCGGGGTTCTAGCATACACAGACCAGCTGAGACATCCAGCCTCATGGGACTGATGAAACTACTGGATTTGTAAACTTTCCTTTACTAACAACTTAGCCATGTTGGACTGGAGCTCGTAAGTCATTTCCAATAAATTCCCGTGTGTGTGTGTGTGTTTGTGTACGTATGTCTGTATGTATGTGCGTATGTATGTAAAGAAAGAGAGAGAGAAGAAAGAGATTCATTCCATAAGTTCTGTGACTCTAGAGAACCCTGACTAATACACCCACAGACCTGGGCTACTCTCAACCATGGTCATAAAAATCTTTTTGCAGTGTGTAACATACAGTGAAGAGATTCATAACAAGTCAAACTGCTGAGAATAGAGAACTGTGACTATTAAACCTTTAAAGGGATCTTTTTAACCCCCATCCTGAAATTCAGGGAACATCACAGAGGAGGAGGCAGAAAGATAAGAAGTAGAAGATGGGGAGGAGTCCTGTGAAATTCTGCCATCTAGCTATGGCATGGATATTGCACTCTTTAACTCACAGAAGTTGTGGTTTCAAGCACAAGATCTCCGAAAAATCAAGCCAGT